CAACCCGCCACAAACTAAAGTTTCATCCCAATCATCTGGACGAGTGGCGGTCTTCCACCGTGCGTTTTTCAAGGCACTTTCTCCCACGCACAACCATTCTTTGGAATCAACTTCCAGCAGCAGTATTTCCGAACCGATACGACAACATAACCTTCAAGAAAAGAGTATATTCCTTTTTAAAAGGCCGGCAGCACACCTGCAATGCCGCTGGTGTTGTGGGTGATCATGGGCGGCGGTAGTCACTTACCATCAGGTGAGCCGCATGCTCGTTTGCCCCCTGTGTTGTAAAAAAAAAAAAAAAAAAATATTTCTAAAAATAAATGTTATTCCACGATTTCATCTCATCATCATTGCCTTGCCTTTTTCCATTTATTTCGGGATCGGCGCAGTACGTCGTCTTCTTCCACAAATCTCTGTCAACTGTCAATTACTAATATTATAAAAAAGAAAGATTGATTGCTTATTTCTAATGGTTAAACTCAAAAACTACTTAACCGATTTTTTAAATTCTTTATTATATATTCTTTATTGCACTTGTAAGTTACATATAAAATAATGTATTTATAAATGTTGTGAGCAAGGGTGGACTTATCTCTGACGGAGATCTCTTCTAGTCAACCCAGTACAGTAAGAAAGTATTTCGTTAGCGGGCAGCAGAAGGTGCTACAACTATTAATACTTACATAAACAAATATACAGTTAAATAAAATATTAAAATATATAATAAAATATTACATACATTACATACATATACTATAAATACATATAATACCTACCTACTTATATAATAAATGTTAAAATAAATGAATATACTACTTACATTAGAAACTTCTTTCACCTATAGAAAGCTGCATTAGCAGTGTTACACAGGTCGTTGTATTATTTTCAAAATTCTGTCTACGTACACCATGCCAAAGTACGATGTAAAGTAAAAATTATGTATATGTGTGAATCAAATATTATCGTATTAAAGAACTTGTAGTTACCCAAATTGCGATGACACAAATACAATTTTGGTATTAAAATTTCTATTACTCGATCATAAAATCTAATCAAAACTTTGTTGTAAACTAAACTTGGCTGTACTTATAATATGCCAATCAAAATTAACTCAATCTTGACGGAAATGCTGATTTAGTAAAATTCAAATTTGCTCGACAGTCATGACGAGGGTGATTCACTGGGGATACGCCGTTAGATCTCAGCACATCTTTCGTGTTATTAGTGTAACGTCATATTTGACAACATTTCCTATAATGTTGAAAATAAATAATATCACGGTAACGTAGAATAGGATAGACGGTATGGTAGCAATAGGATGACGTCATTGAGCAAACGAACAAATAGAAAATGTATCTTCTTATTCGCAACGTTTAATAGTGACATTAGATACTTGATTTGATTGGTTAATATAAACATAATGCTTTTGACGTTGAAAATAAATTGAGTCATCCAAAAATAAAAGCGTACGCAGAGTAAAGGCAAACAAAAATATATCCGATATTGATTACCCTTTCGTCTTTTACTCACAAAAATATCTTGTTCTAACTGTTAATGTTATTATATGTCATATCTATTAGGACTTTAGGTAAAATCCTAAATCTATGTCAACTTGTTTGCATATAACTACAACTATTATATATTAAAATATCATATAGACAACCGTCTGTAGAATCAGAATTAATAAAACATTTTGGAGGCAAAAAATTATTGTATTTTTTTTTAAATAATAGTTTGTATAATTAATAATGTAATTGTAAACTATGGGTATATACCTGAAAATAAAGAGATTTATTATTATTATTAACTTGGAATTCTTTCCATTTTTAAATCAATAAACAGGTACATTTTGTTTTACAAAAACAGATTTCCATCATAGTAAAACTAGTTATTCCGATTTAAAAACCATACTCCTGTAACCACCAATAATCATAAAATTTCTATAGGACCAATTCGTATACATCCTTCCATATTATAAACAATTTTCCGAATTTATCTGTGAATGTGGTAACAAACATAAAAATATTAAACCGTACTGAGTACTACTTCCTTTTTGGAGTCAATAAATAAAAAAAGAATTGTAAATTCTCGTAGTAAATGAATATAATAATGTATTATTTCCATAGATTTAACCTACTTTCTTGGAATTCCCCTAGCTAGTTCCCCTCGTTATCAAACTCGAGGCGATTTTGCATTGGGTTCTAATATTCTCTTTACATCATTCCTTGTAGAAATATCTTAATACAAAAATACCTGCCAGTATTACCATATAGTCTCATTGATTTTTTTTTATACAACTCAAAATGGCAAACAAGCTGACGGTCCACCTGATGGAAAGTGGTAACCGTCTCCTATTGACATAAGCAATACCATGGACATAACAGAATATACTGTTTCGCCCATGATACCCCCCATGCGTTGCCATTCCTGAGGACTTAGGTGTTGATTTGTGATTACATTTATGAAGGTCTATCTACCTACGTGAAACCAAAACAGATATAAAATATAAAGATTATAAAATAATAATAATATAAAAAAATATAAAATTAATTTTGCTTTCTGTTGCTCTTATTAAACAAAAAGTATCTCGTATATTTTTTCCAAAATATCTGTAATATACAGACTATGCTTACAATTTTATTATATATACATATATAGATATCTAAATTTAGTCAGTTGTCACGTTGTGTATACTAAGAACAACAACATATATAATATATAAGTTATTGTTGCAACCAGTCCGCGGGGATGACCTTTGTCACTGTAACATTTTGGGTATTGTTATAAAGTCTATGTGGGTTTACATTTGGGTGTGAGTACGATGCCATTTGACAGACTGACAACTTGGTTCAATAATGACAAACGTGATGAGAGTATTGAATAATATCACCTATGTGTACTAAGAGTTGCGCTCGAAGTTTTTTTGCGTGATAGAATCCTTATATCCACAAAAGACCCAAAGTGACCAACATAGCTCGAAAGATAAGTCAACTAAAAATGTAATAGAATGGTTACATAGCTCGAAAAATCGATAATGATGGAAAAGAAAGGTTCTTGCATACAGGCAAACGCAGTGTAAAACGATCTTCCACTAGATAGAGTGACTACCTCAAATGAATTGCAGAGAGTTCATTGATGCATATGGCCCAAGACCGTTCCTTAAGGCAATCTATGGAGAAAGCCTATGTTCAGCAGTGGAGAGTTGACGGCTGAAATGAATGAATGAAGGAAAAAAAATCACTAACTATTCAGTCTTGCCATTTTTTGTATCGGAGGCTAATGAGACAAATTAAAGAGATAAATTAGCATGGTGAGTGATCCAAAGAGTTGTTCGACCAAATATCTTCTTTCTGTAACTACACGCAACGCTTAAAGGTTACATCCATTTACTATGGATACATTTTTCTCGCGTACAGCTAAGTTTAGTAACTCTTAATTAGATGGTATTATCAAAATGTGGAATTACCTCCCTTTTTACATATTCCCTTCTACTTATAATCTAAGGATCTTGACAATTTTATGAAGATTGCATGTAAAAGCAGCTAATAACCCAATATATTGGGATTTATCGGTGAATAAAGTTCATTATGTTATCAGTTGATTTTTGCTCGTGGAATGTACGCTAAATATTACTTCTGTTACAATTGGTTGCACTGTCACATACTGAACTGTTATAAAAAACACACACACTTCTTAGAGTATTCAACATGGTTGGAAAAGTTTTCTTTTCTGCTAAGTTTCATGGTTGGAACACTATTATCTGCTACTAAGTCTGTAAACTCATCAAACACCTTTTCCAACTTTTCATACGAGAATGTGCCTAAATCAATGTAATTCCAACGTTTCGAATTTCCGTTTCATTAATAAATTCTACTTATTTTGTCTTTAGTCCAATTTCGAAGTTAAAGTTCTTGAAATTATAAGGGAACGTGGAATTGAGTTTGTACTGTTGAGATCAAAGTATAAACGTGATAACAAGGAAATCCGAGAAAGACCTTCTTCAAAATCTTTATAAGAAAACTTACATAGACTATTCACGAATTTCTCAATGATCGAGAATGTTTTAAATTGACGAAATAAAGTCAAATGTGATGACATTCACAGATAAATAATGCTTTAAAATTTTCGCACATGATTGTTATATTAAATAATATGCTGATAAATCTTTTAATTAATATCTCGTGCAGATCTTATATGTTTATGGTGACACGGTGTCCAATATTCTTTTTTTTTTATACAACTTAGAATGGCAAACAAGCTGACGGCCCACCTGATGGAAAGTGGTAACCGTCGCCTATAGACATGAGCAGTACCATGGACATAACAGAATATACTGCTTCGCTCATGATACCCCCCATGCGTTGCCATTCCTGAGGACTCAGGTGTTATTCCTCTGTACCCTGTAAATTCACGCCATATCCCACCCTTCAAACCGAAACACAGCCATGCAAACACAACTGTAACAGGAATGGGACAGAGGTACCCAAGCAATCGACTTTTGTACAAAGTCTCCCTCTGGTATTCAAATTTATGTCAATGTTTATTACCTGTATATGTAGCTTTTCTTACCTTAATGAGTACATTTTTTTTTATAGTAATATAGAACTTGGTGTAACTATGTATCAAAACTCTGCTAAATCTCTTTAATTATTTATGCATTATATTGTCTTATTATGCAATTGAGAATGGCAAACAAGCTAACAGTACGCCTGTTGAAAAGTGGTAACCGTCGTCAATAAAGACGACCATCATCATAGACATCATATGCTATGACCGCTATGGTACTCATTATGTGTTACCACTCCGGAGAACTTTGGTGTTATGTAGTATTACTGCCATATCCCACCCTTTAAACCGAAATATTGCTATGTAAGCACAAAAGCTTCACACGGGGGACAAAGGTACCCATTCAAACGACTTTTGTACAAAGTCTCCCTCGGGTCGTCCAAATCTATATTTCTCCTACGATATGTTTATATATTCTCCAACTTTGTCAACAGGAGGTGGGTTCATGCGTCTATTCGGAACATTTTTAGCGACTCATGGATCGTCACTCGGCACTTACTTCAGACTACTCCGTCCCAGAGGAGTACCTCTGAACTTCCGCGAGATCATGAAGCGTGTTAATACCCCATTCATGTTCTGCTTGAAGATACCAGGGTCTGCTTCGCCGGCTGAGGTAAGTCAATCAATTTGTACTTGCCCATTAGTAAATATCTTTACATTTATATTCCATGGTATCTTATTTACTAATAAGGGCAATAGTAGTCAAAATAACATTTTTTCGAATTTTTGTATGTCTATCTGTCAATCTGTATGTTTGTTTCGTCATCACAAAAATATTATTGTGCCAAATTGAACGTGGTTTTCAAAATTGCGTTTCAAAAGTCGAACTCAAAATTTGGGGTATGTTTAACTTGATACGACATCTAAGTGATTATTTACTTCCAAAACCCAGGCGTACAACGTTGCGGGAAAAAACTAGTCAAGAATAAATATTAAAACAGAAAAAAATACTATGATTCCAATATATAAACATATATATGTTTATTTCTGTTTAAAATTAATGGCAACGCATAAGGGGTATCATGGGCGAAACAGTATACTCTGTTATGTCCATGGTACTGCTCATGTTCATAGGTGACGGTTACCACTTTTCATCAGATGGGCCGTCAGCTTGTTTGCCATTCTAAGTTGTATAAAAAAAAAATAACAGTTAACATATTTATTAACTTTGAGCAGATCTTTAGTAATTTGATTACGTCGTTGTGGAATTTTTTGAACACATATCTTTATCACAATAGACTAATTTTTATTTACTGCGTCATTAAATTTTTTTAAAATATATTTACTTTAAAGAGGAGTAATATTAAATTTCCAGGGATAACCGAATAAATCCTGTTCTTTTATGCATAAAATCAAGCTTTTTGTCAAATAAAATGTTATCTGGTAATAAAAATAACATAATCTGCGATAATCTCTTATCTGTCCCCATCTCAAAGTATCTCGAGCGCTATTAAGCGAAGTGGTTTCGACTTGGAGTTTATTATCCCGGACTTAACAACAATAAAGTCACTGAATTAATCTTCTTTTTGGCGTTGTTACTTCGGGACTTCTGTCTAACCTCAGACATTGTGAACGTACTGTTATTTTACGCATATATATCTTGAGTAATGAACTACCTATAAGCAGCTACAAAATAAAGATTTCTTGGAAATATTTTGACTCGATTCAAAGAAGAAATATAGGGTAAAATTGCAAGTATTCTTATAAGGAAGTATTTTATTGGTTATATGGAAGATATTTAGTCAGAAATATAAGAGTAAAAAGACGATAAAATAGTATGATACACGTACCATACGTACAGTATGTGAGATGGTATGGGAAAGGTTTTAAATTTTTGCCTTTTTTAGACCCACGTTTTTAAGAACATTCTTCTAAAAGGATTTTGAGGATATTATAATTAAAAACCCTTATTTATAAAAATCTCAAACCTCTTATAAACCTATTTTAGCTACTGAACTGTTTTGTCTCTTTATTTAGCGCTTAATTACTATTTTGAATGAAATTGATAAAACAGTTTAATAGTTAAAATAGATTTATAGGAGGTTTTGGTTTTTATGAATAAGAGAGCTAGACCTTATCTTACGTGTGTTGACGATCCCAAACTCACAGTTGGTACCAAACCTTTGAGTTTGAGGGGAAATATTAGCTCTTTTTACGTATGCTACCGCTATATATAGAAAACCGACAACCCCAAATTCAAAAGTAGTATAGTTAGAAGTTAAAGAAGAGGGTTAGAAGAGAAATACGAGTATTGGGATCTATTTTGAGATATAAATTCTTTAAACCCGTTTCTAAAATCAAAATTTCAATTTGATATCACAACAAAATCTGTATTATACGGATCAATATGAACACATTTTCTACTAAATGTTCTAATTTGTAATAAATTTTATAATATCGTCACAAGAGGTGAACCATTTTTTTTGTAGAAATTAATTCTATGTTTGCCAAATTAGCGATTTTTTTATGAAGCATATTTTTAAATTATACAAAATTTTGATACGTAAAAACTAAAACAAATATGTAATAACAATAAAGTGACTTCTATATTAGACTAACTTTAGTGACAAAGTCCCGGGGCGTTACACATTACCCGGTATCCTGTCCTGTGTGCAGTTTGTATAGTACGTACACTTTCTTTGTTGGCTATGGGTAGAGTGGGCTTCAAACGTGCGCGTTTCAAGAGACATACGTACCTTTGTGCTCTATAGTGACGCGTTTTACGTTATTTGTACAACATATTGCATTGAACTTAAGTTAGTGACAACTAAAAAAGTAACATTGTATACTTCTTTCCTAAATCTAGTAACATGACAGTTCTGTTTGTTTAACCCAACAATATCTTAAAGCTAATGTAGTAAGAGTAAAAATAATTTTATAGTAATAAATACTGTATATATGAAATAATAAGAAATAAATTGGCAACATAATAATATATTGCTAATTTATTTCTTTGTTTAACTGTCAACTTCAGTTTTTAACTGTCCACTGCTGAACATAAGCTTTCCCCTAGGGGGTTTTTGCACCCCTAGGGGGTTAGTTGCCACGCTTGTCAGGCGGATTGGCAACCGCAGTTAGGTTTTGGGCATATTTTAAGAGGGACGTATCAGCGTCACATATATAGCCCATGCCTCATCCTCCCTTAGTCGCCTCATACGACACTCACGGGAAAGGAAGGGGTGGCCTATTTTATGCCAGGGCCACACTTGAAGAATGTATAACTTATACTTGTATATATATATATATATATATATATATATTATATGACAATTTTAAATACTATTTAAATGAATATTTATATATATATATATATTACAAATATAAGCAGGATATTCAAGTGTGTTAAGATGTATTACTCCATTATGACTAGAAATAAACTCAAATTTAGCATACAGTATGATATAGTATTAAACCAACCCTATTGTGAAGCCACATGACATACCGTGTGGTTATATTACTATGTTACCTTACCAGAAAAACACTGTTCGAAAATCGTTTGCTTGGATACTTCTGTCCCATTCGTGTGTTTTTACTGTGAAGGGGAGATATGGTAGTCAAATTACAGATTACAGAGGCAAAACACCATTGTTCTTAGGGATACAATGCATCAAACGTACTATAGACAATGTAGGTATTCTATGGTGTCCATGGTGCTCTTTATGTCTACTGGCAGCAGTTATTAATTTCCATTACGTGGGCCGCTAGATTGATTATCTTTTTAATTTTCATAAAAAAAAAATTTAATTGAATTTCTTCGAAGTGTATTCTGAATTCGTGGAAGAGATATTACGAAAACGAATATTGACTTTTTATATATATTTTTTTTTACGGTTAAGTATGATGTAAAAATAATATCGTAGCTTTGCAGCAAATGTAATATAAATGTATACATATTTCTTTCAAAATATTGTGTCATGTCATTCAAGTTATATTAAGGCCAGCGTAAATTGAATAAGACAATGAAAGCTGGAGGAAGATATGACTCAAATGATTTACATGTCAAAAATTTTGTAATATTATCATAAATAGGAGTTCCGATATAATTTTTATTAATGCTGTAAATATGAAAGTGAGTTTGTTTGTTAGTTACATCTTGGCGCTTGATGGCTTCACCAACCATCGTGAAATGTGGCATATAACTACAGATACAACTACGACCAGTATTTGGGATGATACTATTTATTTCGGTTAATCGGGTGAAATCAATTTTAATAGTCGAAGGATGGGCAGCAGCGTCCGTCTTAAAATATTACCAAGGCTTAACTGTGGTTGCCAACTCGCCTGCCAAACGTGACAACTACTGACAAAATCCTCTAATGGAGGGAGACGTATATTCAGTTGGCAATTAATTAAATTATAGTATTTCTGTTAATCAACATAAGGCCGTCGCGTATAGGATATTACGGGTAAAGACATATTGTTCTTTTTTCGAGAAGTTTTTTCTTTTTTTTGTGGTAATATACTTTTTGTAGGAAATGAAAGTTTGTTTGAGACCCCGTTTATAAATACTAACACCAGTTTTAAGGAATGGGTTACATTATTTATCATACTGTATATTATTAAGAATCATTTTATGACGATTTCTTTTTAAGTATCATACCAACTAAACCTTTGAATATGTTTAAAAAATCTAAAAATAGAATACTGAGAATCGTCACCACGATTTCCAGGTTTTGCTTTAAAATAAAATACACAAAGCTACAATATAATATATATATATATTTCACACAGGTTGAGAATGACTCGCTAAATGTACGCAAATATTTTATACAACTTTTCTATTTCGAATATTCAGAATATTGAGAAATAAAAATGTTTGAAACTCTGTCAAATAAAATTAAAGGTGAGTTTTTATATTTAACATTTTGTTTCAATATTGGAATGTCGACAGAAATATTCGACCCGGTACCTAGTATTGATTAAGTTTGTTTCGAGTTCTCTCATTTATGAAACATTATGCGGGATGAAATCGAAACAGGGGCCATCTTTTTAAAATAGTGTCCTTCCCTTGAATTTTAATTTTGTTGTTAAAGAAATATGGTGTTTCTTTGGGAAAATATTTAATTAAATCTTACGATACCCTAATAGGAGGTTAATTTAAAATATTTCATCATTTTTGACCCGATGTTTTTGGAAAATATTTTCAGTTCTATGAATAGAACTTTTTTTTCAATGATGCTATTGTTTCGACTTATGTTTAATTTGGAAAATGTACAGTTTTGCTGGTCCCTTAAATTGTTAAAAATGTTTTCTTTCTCTTTATATATGAGTATATGCATGCTTAGTTCCATCAGACACGCATACTATTACAATGTGCATATATGTACATATATGGTTTTAACATAGACTATATACACAGATATTATTGCCGTATGGTCCCGGTATAGAATGAGCCACCGCTTTCTTACCTGTAAATCTCGTAAGAGGCGGCTACGGGATTTTATTGATTGAGAGATGGGCAGCAGCATCTCTCTTAAAATATCACTAAAGCTTAACTGCGGTTGCCAACCCGCCTGCCAAGCGATGTGACGACTGGCAAAACCCCCGAATGTTAAATACTAGGACTAAATAGCCCCCAGTCCTTTGACTTCGTAGCGTTCTTTATGGTAGTTC